AAAGTAACCATAGAGTTGTAAATGCTAGGATGTCGACCATGGCACTGTATTTCAACTTAAAAAACTCTCAATTTGTACAGAAATATTATAACAAACGAAATGTATATATACCCAAACCGATTTGCCCTTATTACCGACACAATCCAGAGAGAAATATGGAACTCTATGGTTACTTTTATGATCAGGTATCACACTTCTATTTATTTATTTTTATATTTGTAATTTTATGATAATTTGGTAGTATACACTAATTTACTACAGAGAAACGAGTGTATTTGATTCTGGAATATGCTGCCAAGAGAGAATCAGAAAATGTTGGTTAAATTCAAAGTGTTACTTCCCTGTTGAAATGATTAGGTAACTAACATAATTTAGAAACTTGATTCCAAACATTATACCAATTTTTTTTTTACAAATTTGGACCTCACAGCACAAATTAAATATTTGTATGCACATTTTCTTTCACGTCTTATTACATATTACATTATAAAGTGATCGTTGTAACGAAATAATAAAAGGGGACTATATTTTTCATTTTAAGAAACTGTAAAAGAACGACTTAATCTCATTCGAGTTATTAAGAAACTAAAAAAAATGAAGATTGTGCCTCAAACATCCATGTTAAAACGAAATCATTATGAATTATGAGTTGTAAAATGCTAGGATGTCGAAGATGGCACTGTATTTCAACTTAAAAAACTCTCAAAATTTGTACAGAAATATTATAACAAACGAAATGTATATATACCCAAACCGATTTGCCCTTATTACCGACACAATCCAGAGAGAAATATGGAACGCACAAAATCGAAATACATTAAATCGGACGAGGAACAGAGTCTGGGCAGAGTCTAACCCAGAGGAACTGCAGAAGAGGGAAAATAAAATTGGGAATCGGTGGAAAAACCAATGAGGCTGTCGGCACCAGAAAACGTGTCTCAGAGAGAAAAACGGCCGAAAGAATGTCAACTAGCGATTTCTGGTGTAAGAAAAGAGGCCGGGAAAAGAAAAGAAGAAAGAGAAAGAGGGGCTGGCCCAAAAAATTGTCGGCCCAAACGTCGCCGTTTTTTCCACAAGAAAAGTGGCCCAAACAAAAAAAGATACAAGAAAATAATAATAATATTAAAATACGGGTATTATATAAGAAAGAAATAGCATTTTAAAATCTAAACAGGGCAAATTAATTCAAGCTGCAAAACTAAGAATGTATTTTAGTGGTTTCCTCATCTTTTAAAAACATCATCTATTTTACTTTCTCCAATCAAACACATCATCTAATTTTATACAACTTCTCCTTTTCTATTGATTGTGGAATAATGAAATAGTGGGACTTGTATTTGGTTAGTAAGTATGAAGCTGATCATTTTGCTCTACTTGCCATTGTCCGTAAATGCCCTGGTATTACGTAGCAGCATAGAGAAGGGTAGGTATTCTCTCTAATTTAGCATGCTACAACTGAAGAAGATAATAAACTTCTCAAAAAGTAAAACGGTGTCGGAGTAATCTCACATATAGCATCGGTCAAGTTCAAGAAATAGGTCTAAGACATCTAAACAAAAAGTAAAACGGTGCCCGAGTAATCTCACATAGGGTTGAGCATATCGTTTAACCACCAACAAACCCATTTTCGACCTACAATTTGTGACGGATAATCAACCATCAACCGACCCATATAAGTTGGGTCGATAATGTCAACCAACCCATGTGTAGTTGAGTCGATAATGGGTTTTAATAGGCTAAAAAGTTGGTTAGTCGAGTAATTTCAGTCAACCAACTTTATTAAAAGTGTTTAATATTTTTAATTTCAAAATTTTATTTTATTTCACATTTATTAAATTGTATAATATTGATCAAAATCCTAAAAGCAATAAATCTAACATAATTATCTAATTTGAACTATTTTAATTTTAAGACAACCTAAAATATTTGGACGATTATTAATTGTTGAATAATTTATGTTTAATTGCAATACATATGGCGCATAATGTTTCGAATTCGAATATTGTTGAACTAGTCATATTTAATTGTAAAAAAAATAGTGTTGTAACAATTAATAAGATATTAAAAAATATTTCAATTAATGGCCCATCAACCGACCCACTTAATTGGTTATCAACCACCACCCAACCCATGTCAGTTGGGTCGATACTGTTTCCAATATTTTACCAAAGTTGGTTGGATGGGTTGGTTTTTAACCAACGCACAACCCTAATCTCACATAACATCTAACAAGGTTAAGAAATAGGTCTAAGTGTAATGATCACAAATGGGCACACACGTAAAAAATTGATCCTCCCGAAATTACTACACAGCGAGATAAACTATTTCTAATATGCGTTCAACTATTTCAGTAACGTACATGAGCTGAATTCAATGTCAAAAGGTATTGGGAAAAGAACTTGAAAGTTTAATTAGTGCACTTATTCTGGTAATATCTGTATTCTTTCTCTACAATCACACACGCACCACGCAGTAAGAAAATCGTCAAATAAAAAAGAGAGACAAAAGATCATTATCACCGCATCTTTTATCTAGTTCAAGATGTGGTGATGATGATCTTTTGTCTCTTGTTTTTATTTGACGATTTTCTTACTGCGTGTGATTAAAGAAGAATTCTTTGGCTTTATCCGATTCAAGATAAAGTGACGGTCATCTTTTGTCTCTTGTTTTTATTTGACGATTTTCTTACTGCGTGTTGTGTGTGTGATTGCAGAGAAAGAACACACAGGTATTACTAGAAGAAGTGCATCAATCAAACTTTCAAGGTTCGTTTCCCAACCCCTTTTGACATTGAAATTCAGCACATGTACATTACTAAACAGTTGAACACATATTAGAAATAATTTATTTCGTTGGGTAGTAATTTCGAGATGACCCATTTTTTACGTGAATGACAGTTGTTTGCGCCTTTATGATCATTAAACTTATACATATTTCTTGAACTCGTTAGATGCTATGTGAGATTACTTAGGCACCATACCATTTTACTTTTTTTTAGATGGCGTAAACCTATTTCTTAAACTTCTTAAACTTGTCCGATGCTAATCTCAAACAAAGTTTTACTTTATATTTAAAAGTTTATTATCTTCTTCTACCTTCTTCTTTAGTTGTTGTAGCATGATAAACTAATAAACCCCAAGACTCGATCAGAAAAGATTTTGTTTTTAAAAAAAAATCAAAGAAATGGTAAATTAGAGAGAATACCTGTTATCCAACCGAGAGCCTTCTCTATGCTACCGCGTGCATGCCAGGACATTTACGTAAGAAGAAGAGAACTTACTTTCGTGCCTTCTTTTTCTTCCTGTAAATAATGGCAAGTAGAGCAAATTGATCAGCTTCATACTTATTAACCAAATACAAGTTCCACTATTTCATTATTCAAGAGGAGTTGTATAAAATTAAATGATGTGTTTCGTTGGAGAAAGTCCCACTATTTCATTATTCAACAACCAATAGAAAAGGAGTTGTATAAAATTAGATGATGTGTTTGATTGGAGAAAGTAAAACAGATAATTACAAGGATATTAGAACAATATTCTTCTAAAGTTGGGAGACATTGACAATTTAAAGGAAATACCCAAACAATTCTTAATTTAGCATACACAAAAAAATTAATTTTGTACCGTGTAGCAAAAATCACCTTCAATTAAAGCATAAAGAACTAGACTTTACGGAAACACACAGACTTTATGGAAAACACACATGTGTCAGTAGTAAGTCTTAAGCAATAAGCACTACAGATCAAGAACTAGACTTTACGGAAAAATATAACAAAAATTTAACAAATTAATAATAACATCTGAAGTCCTGTTAAAATAACAAAATCTAAAGAACCAGCAAACAAAAACAAATATTTTGACCAATAGCCTAAGAATTATAGAGAAGGGACGCTCTACACAAGCAAAAGATCGAATCGGAAAGACACAATCAGAAAATTATACATAAAACTACAGATCTATAAAATCAAAAACTAATGAATCATTTCACATAAAAATCAAATCTTTATATAATTTGATGCATTTCCACATAAAAATCAAATCTTTACATAATTTGGGGCATATTTCACATAAAAATCAAACCTTTATATAATTTGATGCGTCCTTCCACATAAAAATCAAATATTTACATATAAAAATCAAATCTTTATATAATCTGAAGCCTGTTTCCCATAGAAATCAAATCGTGAGTTAATATGAAGCATCCCCTTCACATAAAAAATAAAATTTGATGTAATTCGAATCATCATATCATATACAATCAAATTAACCCAGTAACTTGAAGCACCAATTCACCAAAAAATTTACAATTAAATCAACTCCTTAACAAAAGTGATACATCTTATCACATAAAAATCAGATCTTTCTATGATACGAAGTATCCCTTCAAATAAAAGTTAAAAAAATTATGCAATTAGAAGCATCCTTTCATATAAAAATCAGATCTTTATATGATACGAAGCATCCCTTCAAATAAAAGTGAAAAACTTTATGCAATTAGAAGCATCCTTACATATAAAAATCAGATCTTTATGTAATTTGACGCATCCTCAAACCTCTATGTAATTAGAAGAATCCAGAAAGGATAAGAAAAAATCCAATTCATGAACGGTGTTGAAAAAGGATTAAGGCAGTGTACTGCAGTTAGAGAGAGAGAACAGGGTTAATAGAAGAGATATGAAACGAATCGAACGAATCTAAGAGAGAAGAAGGGGGAGCAGCCATACACAGTAAACCCTAGGTGTGGCAAGACTGCAATCGTTATCCCTTAAATTTAATATTTATTTTTATTGGCACTATAATCTAATTTTTTTTGATAATTCACTATAATCTAATTTGGATCTCGATATTAGAGGTAAACTTTTTTTTTTCTTTTTCTTTTTTGGAGTAAATATTAGAGGTAAACTTGAAATGACATAAAAAGAGTATTGTAAAATTAATAGGTAGACAATATATAAGTGGTAATGACAAGATCATGTACAAGAAACCAACCAAAGAGGGCTAGTGATCATAAAATTTTAAAATTGACATTAACATAAATAAATACATAAAATACTCGAAATATAAATGTAATTAAGTTCTAGTCATCCACCTGTGTTCACCAAGTAAATTCGCAGATATTGTTCGATCCATCATATCATATCAATTATCAAAGTTCTTTTTGTTTTTTTGGAAGTATTGTTCGATCAATTATCAAAGTTCTTGATGAATTTGTAGCAATTTCACCCACTTGTGCTTGTGGGCACCAAGTAAATTCGCTTAAACGCCGTGGATCAATTTGGGTAGGCATCGTCCAAGTTGCAAAATCAACTATTGTAAAGTCATAAAGCATTATTGTTGGAGTAGTCGCCTTCAAAAGAGTGATACTTTCGCATATCCAACGAGTAATAGACAATCTTATCTCCGTAATATTTGGTGAAGAACCCCCACCGAACCTGATTGTTATATCTTATTTGTTATTTCATTGAAATGGATATCCAATCTTTTTATCGTATTAAAGACGAAAATAACATGACTGGAAATTTGAAGTTAGTGATCTGCATTGTATTGTTCCAAGGCAATACTTATGGTTTCATTGATCCTGATAAATTTGTTACTCTACATTTTTTAGGGAATACTATCGCGTTCAAGTACATACCTATGGTGGATGATTGCGAAAGCAACGATAAAATCAATGAAGAAAGCGACGATGAAAGCGAGGAAGAAAGCGACCATGAAAACAACGAAGAAAGCGATGATGATTTGCCTTGGTTCATTAATTCCCCATTGGTCCTTAGCGTATAATTTATGGTTGATCGATGCATCACAATGCAGTGGTGAGCTATTGATGGTTCAGAAAATATTCTATTCATTATACCAAAAGAAGCGAGGGTTGGATTTCACAGTTTTCCAAGTGGATGTAAACGTAATGAAATGCATTGAGTTACATAACATAGGGAACCGAACAATTTTTCTGAGTCATTGTAGTGGTGGTATTGTTGTCCTTCTCCCGTAGGACTAAAGCCTAACTCCATATATTATACAAATAGAGAAGATCGGAATCTCGATGTCTTTGATTTGGAAGATAAGAGCACAACTTCGGTACTAGTACTATCTCGTCACATTAGTTTATTCATAACTTATATTGTGCGACGATTATATGGTTACATCTTTTCTTCGAGTCACTTGATAAGTTAATCTCTTTCTAGCTCATAATTCATAATGATTTTTTTTATTTTAATGTGGATGTTCGAGGCACAATCTTCGTTTTTTTTTAGTTTCTTAATAACTCGAATGAGATTAAATCGTTTTTTACAGTTTCTTAAAAAGAAAAAAAATAATCCCCTTTATTATTTCTTTACAACAATCACTTTATAATGCAATCCCCCTTATTATTTCTATACAACGATCACTTTATAATGTAATAAGACGAGAAAGAAAATGTGCATGCAAATATTTAATTTGTGCTGTGGTCCTAATTTGTAAAAAAAAAAAAATTTGGTCTAATGTTTGGAATCAAGTTTCTAAAATATGTTAGTTAATTAACTAATCATTTCAACGGGGAAGTTGTAGAAACTGAATATGCATTTGCATAATTTATTCAATAAAATTTCATTGAGTTAAACATTTTGAATTTAACCAACATTTTCTGCAGATCTAAAAATCTAATTTCAATTAATAAAATTTAAACAGGGATAACTAATTTCAAGCTGCTAAACTAAGAAGGTATTTTAGTGGTTTCCTCATCTTTTAAACTTTCCAATTCTATACTATAATTTTTTTTTATTTTTTACTGAAATTGTGTTTCCTTTCCTTTTGATTATCAATCATTCAGCAGATTTTTTTTTATAATTTAATTGGTAAATGAGGGGATTAAGGTGGTGTTTGCAAATGCTTTTTGAAATTGATTTTGCGGTTTTTTCTTCTCATAATCTGTTTTTAGGTGTTTGCAAAATCAACTTTTGCTTTTGCTTCTCTTAAAATAATTTGTTTTAAGCTATTTTTTTAAAAGCACCCCTAACCCTACTTTTTCAATTTTAGTTCATTTTTCGAAATATTTGCAAACACCCCTAACTTTTAGAAATAAACACTTAAGACTAACTTAAATCACAATTACTAACTTCTGCTTTTAAATAATCATTTGTAAACACCACCTAAATACAATAATTCATAAATAGTGCCTGCATACAAGGTGTTCGACAAAATGTAAAAACAAGAAATTCTACTTTTTCATTACTTGCTATTTGCTTAAGAGTATTAAGAGTTGAGACTGGCTATTATTTATGGTCACCTTTCTTCATAATAAACAGCCGAAACAAGGTTGTTATTTGCGATCCTTGTTCATCTTCTTGGCGTAGAAAAGACGGTTAGTTCCGCCACTAATGAAGCAGCTACCCATCCAAATATTCATCACAGTCCCTTACTCTCTAAACTAACCTCCGTTTTCAGAAGGTCCTTTGTTGGTTTAGGCCCAAATGTGTTTTGGGGCAGAAAACCCAATTGCTCCCTTTTTTATACATCATTATTGAGTTAAGCCCAAGAGTGAATCAGTGAGCCCATATCCATATATGAGGTAAATTCATTTGTTGGATTTCTGGCTGAATTTGAACCGTTTATTCCCTCACTTAAATACTCGCTTCTTTCTCTTCTTCATCCTCATTCTGAAACCCTAACTTTTACTCCTTCTTCTCCATCGCTCCTGCTTCTGTCTTCTTCCTCATTTGTACTGCATTGACTCTGTCATGACTGGAGGTCAAAGAGCACGGTACATGGCTGACTTTGACTCTCCAGTACAGCCTTCACCGACTCTATTTGACTTCTATCTCTATAAATATTGGCATGGAGGTTGTAAGAGGATAAGACATAGATAAAACCATAGACTCGACTTAAATCTCTCAGTTTTTCTATTTGTGAGTTCTGAAATTGGGATTTTGGTGAGTGGGTAAGCTTAATGCTTGATATGTTCTTTCCTTTGTGGTATTCTGGATGAAACTAGGGTTTGTGTTGCGAGAGAAAGAAGATATGTTCTTCTTGTGATACTCTGATGGTGTATTGTAGAAAGTGTGAATCTCTGGTGTGAAAATTGGAAGACTAAGCTGATATTCTTAATATATTTATCTTTCAATCTTATTCACTTTTATTTCTATCTTTCTGTTTTACTTGAGTGTATAAATTCTCCTTAGCAGTAATCAATACTGCTTAAGGGGAACTTATACTAATTTAGGCTTTATGGAGCTTGGCAATTTGATACCCTACAGTGGTATCAGAGCTATGGCTATAGCTTAGCTCTACTCAAAGTGGAGTATCAAAACCTAACTTGATTTTGCCAAGGTAACACCTCATATCCCTAGTTTTCTTTCCTGTATGTTGATTTGTGGAGTTTGGGAGCCATGTGTGGCTATTGAGTTGGCCCTGTGTGGCGTGGTGGCCCTGTGTGGCATTATGTGGCCCTGTGTGGCATTATCTGGCTTTACTTGATTCATTCCCTCTCTTCTGTTTGTTACTTCCGCATTTAGTTTAGTTTTGCCAAAACCAGCCTTTACAAAAACCTAAAAAGGGCAAGGAGTGGAATAAGTTTAAATACAAAGGCAGAAAGTGTTACAACTTTGGTAAAAGTGGTCATTATGCTAATGAATGCTCTGAGCGTAAAAAAGGAAATAACTAATGAACAAGTTAATGTTGTGACTGATAATCTTGGTGATGTGTTTATGGTTGGTGATGTGATGCATGATTATGTGAACTCTGTGATCTCTTCTTTGTGTGATAATTATAGTTGGGACTGGGTTGAGTCGGTCGATTACCAGCCTAAAAACCTGCCCATCCGTCAAACCATTTTTGCTCAAATTTGAAAACCGTTGCCGACCTAAACTTAGTGGGTCGGTTGATGGTTGACAACCGAATATTTGGTTCCGGAATGGGTCGGTTGATGGTTTATATCCGCCACCTAGTTCACTTACAAAAAAATTCAAATATTAGAGTAAAAATATCCACATTCTGCGTAATTCCACGGTGTGATCATCATTTATAAGTTCAAAATAATTAATAATAATTTAACGAAAAAATATAATTAGAAAATTCAAAGTAATTCCAAACATGCACAAGAGGTTTAGTGGAGTTTTGTGGACTTTTTGTTTAAGCTTGGACATGAAGAAACTGGTTGAAGATTTAGGTCAAAATATTTTCCTTTATTGATTGTTTAATATTTAAAATACTAATTATTTTGATAATTTCAATAATCACTTAAGAAAACACGGCATTTATTTTATATTTTTAATAAATTTTAATAGTATAGTTGGATGACCGATAATTATCGGTCAACCAACTTTTCATAATATTAGAAACCACCAATCGACCCATTATAGATGGGTTAGTTGAAATTTTCGACCCGATCCAATGGGTCAGTTAAAAATTGATTATCCGCCTAAAAATATGGTCGGTAATGGTTCGGTTGGTGGATAAAAACCAACCAAGTCCCAACCCTAGTGATAATGATTGGATTTTTGACTCTGCATGCACCCATCATATGACACCTCATAGACATCTATTTTCTTCTTATGTGAAACTTGAAAATGGTAATGTGTCTATGGCTGATAAAAGTGAAAGAACTTGGAATTGGAACCATTTGCCTAAAGTT